GCATAATGTTTTCTAGCCACTGGTTTACGGCCCCTGCATGTGGGAAAATAGGTCGTCGTGAGATGCCACATCCTATTTGGATTAAAGGTCCTTTTCATGTGGGGGGGTTATGGTCCTCAAGAGTCTATACATGTATATGATATGGCAGTCTAAGAATAGCACCTCTCAGGCACCTGGCAGCTTGCACAGGTGTTCATGTGTTGCTGTTCGCAGCCCCCCGCTGGTGCAGGGCTGACCCAATATTCAGCCATATTCAGCGAATCTGCACACGCCACACGCTGCCTATCATTGGAAGAATGCTTTTATGGATTCGTTTTGGGGCAAGCAACACCTGGAACTTCATATATTATTTTGATGTCCCTGCCTTTTCTTGAAGCCTATACCAGCTCATCCTGCAAAGGCTTGCAGCTTCTGCAACGAAAAAACACCAACGGTGCACACAAACGTTATAAGCACGCCTTTTCCGGAAGCGGAAGATCGGAAGATGTGGATTGCATAAGATGTGGAAGCATGGTTAGACTTTCACCACACTACCACACCTCAAAATAAATTACAAAACTCTTCGAACGAAAAGCGTCTCTGCAGTTGAGACTCTCATCCATGGTCATCAAGAAACCGTTCTTCTGATCCTCCGACGCGTGATTCGATTGAAGGACTGAGGTCAATCTGAAGAGTGGCCTCGTTGGCCGTGACCGCTATGTTGCTGCGGTGGAACCTTTCATTAGGTTCACCTAGCGATGGCCTCCAACCTACTAGCGGGCGAATGGCCTCCAACCTACTAGCGATGGCCTTGAACCTAAGGGCGATGGCCTCGAACCTAACTGTTTAACATCTGATTTACAAAATAGTTCCCCTTTCATCAAACTATCATGAAAGCTGAGCAGAGAAAGGTATCTTGGGTGTTTGTCTGAGAGAGGGCCATAAATATAAATGGCAACAAACTGTGGCACCATGAGCAAATCCAAAACTATACATCTGGCACAAGTTCTTGCCACTCCAAACAAGTTAACCCGAGAACGCACTAGCTAACCACAAGGGAAACGCAATAGCACAAGAAAGTTTCATGCAGCTCCCATACTGAAAGTCCTAGTGAGGAAACAACTAGCCCCCATGCAAATGTAGTGAAATTGCCCTTTGCATTGCCAAAGCAACAGCAACATAGAAAATCACCCAAGCTAAACGCGGGTTGGTGCGACCTGTGCTGATGGGTTCCCAAGCTAATTCTGATAGCTGATGAGTCTGGGTGCGACTAAGTGGTTTGGGTGTAGCTGTTGAGTCGGTGTCCAACAGGTTTTCACCATTTGCAGACTCACCACTCTCACCACTCTCATCACTCTCATCATGCGCATTTCCCGCTCGCAGGACTCACCTCCCCGTCGCAGTTCTCGAGCTTGGAGGGCTCCGAGCACAGCTCCACGCTGTGGACGTAGGCGTTGGCTGTCTGGGCGATGGCCTTCTTCAGCGGCACCATGCCCATGGGGTTGTTGCCTTGGCGCCACCAGTGCAACGAGAAATGAGTGAACAGGTGGCAAATGCTTGACACGAGATGTAGAATCTTTGTAAACTGCAAAGCGTTCGCAGATGCTTTTATATAGTGGATCGCACAATGCCTGTTGCTTTAATAACTAAATCTGCCCGTGGCTTGCTATCTGTGTAAATAAGAGGTATGGCTCGCGTCACATATCATGGTACCACTGATGGGTTCCTTTCTCAACAATCACTTGCATGCTCCAGTTCTTCAGCTTCGAATAACAATCTCCAGTTCTCGGGGGTCACAAAACTCGAACCTCTCAGCCGACTGGCCCAGAACCATGCTGGGCCCGAGCGCTTCATGTATGCAAATTATATGGCCTGCATTTGCTGGCAAACTGGGTGGTAAATGTAGGCCATCTATCTAGCTGCTCACAATGGAGCTTCTGGCTGGGATACGAGCACCGTACTGAGCACCGTCCAATCGCCATCCCCATCATCCCCGTCGTTTTCACCGTGCGTTCAAGAGGCCAAAATCGCCCATGCCGTGCATCATCACCTGCTTTGGTGGCTTTAAAAAAGGACCAAGAGAGGTTAAGTGACCTTATAGGACCCTACTGGGGTACCTATGGGATAGTCTATAGGGTCAGTCAACCTCTGTTGGTACATATGAGGGCATTTCATTTGCGAACAGGAGGGGATGGAGGCAGGGAAACTGTGAACAAGAGGCAGTTCAAAGCCAAGCTGTGAAGAGCACCCCTGCAATCGTCCAAGACCTTTGGAACAGTTTTGAATTGGTGTACACTGTACACAATGTGTTTCAGGGTCAGCAAAGCTTGTGCGAACCGACTCTGCGTTTTTGATGGATGGATATGACATCTGTACGCCAGAACTTTTTTTGCAGCAGTTTCCTAAGAACGATTGGTTCTGGTTGCGCATGTCACAGCAAATCACCGAAAAAAATCAACACTATTTAACATCTGGTGTTGTACAATCGGGCTTGGTAAGGAGCGGGTGAAAGTGAGATTCAATCCTCATCGGCGACCTAGCACTCTAGCCTTTTTTCCGTGGCCGCGACTTGCTGCATCATGTGGAACTTACATAGTCACTGGATTTTCATCACACTCATGTGCTGCTGCACCACCACCTCCAAAGCAGCAGCAACAGCAGCAGCAACTACACTGAAAGGGGCTAGGATGTTCATATTCATCATGCAATACATGTCACCCTCCAAACAAGTGAGGGACCGGGATGTGTCGTGACAAACCATGACCATATCGAACCATGCATTCAAGACTGCAAAGTGTTTGCCTGCAGCAAAAAATATCAAAAATCACTCCTCCCCCAAACATCACCCATTTACTGGAGGCCATTGCGATTAGCATGGAGGATCAGCATGGATCCCTATAGGCTACTAGGGTGGAGGCCATCGTTATAGGCTACTAAGAGGGTGGAGGCCATCGCTACTATGTGGAGGCCATCGCTATTAGGTTGGAGGCCATGGCCCTTCTTGCCGCAACTGCCCGAGTCCGTTGAATTCGCCGTGTCACCACTGGCAAGCCACCCGCAGCAGCGCGCTCGAGGGGCAGTGGTGTTGGCTCATCCTCGAAGTGCAGGACGGCGCTGAAGCTTTCGAGGCTGGCAGCTGCCAGGGGCAGCAGCACGGCAGCACCTCGGATATGCTTGTTGAGATACGCGGTTAAGAGTGGTGGTGGGAGCAAGGCATTGCAGGATGGAAACTGCTTGAGACAGGAGTTGAATTGGCCATTGGTGAGCTCGCTCATCTAAAAGTTCACACCTTGAGTCCACCATGGTACAACCATTGTCTCCCACACAGCGACGTTTCTGCGCCTTGTGATCAAACTGATTGCTTGAACCCGAGTCTGTTGGGCCCCCAGTTCTGGAAAAAGCCGAAACTGAAACCCTCGCAGCTTCCCAGGTGGAGCGCTTTGGATCATGCGATTTAGATCACGTTGGACGCTTAGGACTCACCCACATGATGGGATAGAACTCACCGTCGAAAAAGACCCCACGTGGACTCCGCCAATGATCTCTTACACAGAAGTACATCAAATCCCTGCAAAAGGGGCCTATCTAGTAAGGTGTATCAAGGTGTGAGGCACGTACCTAGCTCGGTGAGGGCCTACCTCGCTCATGGAGGCACTGTGTTTCTTGGATGTTGACGATGACTGCCCCACAAAGCACAAAAATCCTTTAAACATAAAAACCAATAGATCTAAAGCTATCATAATTGCTCCTTGGAAGGCTGTTGTCCTCCACAAACAGGTGACAGTCAACTGCAAAGCAAGGGTAATACACCAAGTTTTATACTGGAGGCTCTTAGTTCGCTCACCGCTGGAGTGGGCAAAATCACATAGGTGCTCAAACATTCCCACCGGAAGCCGCGTGTTGCGGCACTGAATCTGCAGAACAATAATTTGCTTGACCCGGATGGAACAAACTCGAGTTGACCAAAAGGATGACCAAACAACATTCCAAATACCAAAAGCAACAGCCAACACATAGATGCTTCAATTCACTAATTTGTTTCTACTATAAACATATAAAACCATATGTTGATATATATAATATATAGATATATATATATACCTGGAACCCATTTGACCTCTGTTTTGATAGGAAAAGACCATATGAAATGGGTGGTTTGTGGTCCAACATAGAGGTCATTCAGGTTCTAGGTATATATATGTGTGTTCATTCTCAGGGCGGTGCCACCACTGTGACACCCGATCCGTTCGAGAGCTCGGTCGCCATCTCTTCGCACCGGAAAGCCCAGACGACACCACGGGGTCTTCACGGTCTTGGCCGGTGGGTCTGAAAGGGAGAATTCTGGCATTTTGGTGGGTCTTTTGTTCTTTTCTGCAGACTTGGAATCCAGAATTGGAGAAAAAGCAACTGGTCAATGACTTCGGCTGCGAGAGAGTGTTTGGATAGGGCCACATGGTGAGTCATCAACTTTGGGGGGGGGGCAGGCCAACCGTGCAGCCCGAAGCACGGAAGACCATGGCGGCTTTGAACTCGCTCAAGGCGTAGACGTCGGAAAAGGACAGGGGTTCCACGTGCTGAGCAGAAACAGCAACGTGTGAGGATTGAGCTTTACTCAAACGGCTAGTCTTCAAACAGAGCTATATGCAAGAGAGATACACCACAGATTATTGTGAACATATTCAAAGTGCAATGGCCATGTCATGTGATCTTTACTATCTTCTTGTGGCGCAACAGTCACACTTTGGTGTCAGAGAGCTCAAGCTAACTATGGATCATCCCTGTTAGATTTCTTGCTCTGCAAAACGAAATGACACCCAGTCCTCCCAGCTGGTAAATCATGGAAAGCACGAGCTGGGGATTTCATGGGATTGGTCAGATATCCGAGCCTCCTATGCCAAACATGAACAATCTGGTCTGACGCCTCACTGTCTATCTTGAGGCTTCCACCGGTCGAAATTTAGTCTGCCCACGGGCCGCAGTCCCATCCGTAGAACGCCACCGTTCATGGTGGAGGCACGATCCTCTTCGTCCAGGAAGAACCCATAGAGCCATCCCTTCCCGTCGTTGGCCGACACGTAGACAGTCCTCGAGCGCCAAAGAAGAAGACACTGCACCAGCCAACAGCACAACTGAGCAAGGGAGCATTCTGATTGCAAAACTCTGGTGGATGAAGATTTTGGGGAAATGGGAGAATTCCAGGTGGATGTATGAAATGAGTACTCATGTAACACATGTTTTTCATGGGTCCATCTTCATACTCATGTTGGAATCAAGGTGAAGACGATGAGTATGAAGATGTAGCAAGCCGCTTCCTTAGCCTTTTCTGGCCATCCAGCCCCCCCTCGACCCGAAAAAGGCCCCCGGGCTCTCCGGACCAAAGCAGTAAGTTCTCCTCCGAGCGCAGATGTGGGGCAAATGACGAAACACTCCTCTGGTGTGTTGCTTTGTGCTTTGTAATCGTCCTCCATTCTTGTGTTCCTGAGATGTGATGTAGTGCATGTTTACGATATTTGTGCGGACAACTGGGCAGAGATTATGTGAGAGAGAGTTTCTCTTGGAGAATCTTTGGAGAACGTTGATGTTTCCATATTTTGGGGTGGTCTCGGTCACAATGGCCTCTCCACCTATATACCCCCAAAGACAAAAGCCGAGAATCCTCAAGAATGCAGAAACAAAAGAGTCTTCAGCAGCACCTCATTTGGACCGAGGCTCAAAATGCTCGATGACTCAAGCTCCGGGGGGTTAGCAAAGAACCACCCGTGGCTCCCCGTGGGTTCTTCTTGTGGAAGACCGGGCCCACGACCTTCAGTCTCGGCCGTCCTGCCCGCCGGCTTGGAAGTCCCTCTGAACCCGTGCCAACTTGGGCCTCGTGAGGTGTGGCGAATGAACAGGGGTGAGAACAGAGCTGGGGATTTGGTCAAGCACAACTCAAGTCAATTGGGAGATTCAATAATATATTATATAGATATATAACCAAAAGAAGCAACTGAACAGAACAGGATTAACGAAGCCAAAACCAGAAGTCTACCAACAATTTTGCTTTGATTGTTAAAACCTTGCATGTCAACCGCCACCTGCCACCAACCAAATCTCCGGCAGCCAAGCAAATCAAGGAAATTCAGGTCTTGAAAACGGCACTTGGACACCTAAACCAAACCAGAAACAATAGACTTTTTATATAGCAAGGGATTTTAGGATATCTCAAGCATACCGTCTATATTGGAACAATCATGGCACGAGTTTCAACCACGCCGCGGGTCGTAGCTGACATAGTTCTGCAGAATAGGCTCAGGTGCCTCCTGAAGGCGAAGAAGGCAAGGATTGGCAAACATCAAACATGTTTTATAGTATAATGTATAGACTCTTGATTAATAAGCCCACCCACTTGAATTGAAAGTCCTTTTCAAAGGGGTATGTATTAATCAAGAGTCTACATTAGGGCTCCAACCATATCCTCAGGTTTGGTGGTTAGACCCCCCTGGCACCCTAACCACCTTCGGAACGGAGGTAGTTGGAGCCCTAGAGTATAAAGGAAGACCACGCACAAAAACGAAATAACCAAGGAATGTAAGACCCCCTATGACCCCCTGGCCTCGCGAGCTTTGTAAACTAACGAGATGCACATTATACATCCATCAAGAACCCGTTCTTTGTTTGCCTTTCTCACGCGGGGTCTTCGGGCCCACGGTCTGGTGGGTCCTCCAATGGCATCGCCTCTGCAGAGATCAACTGAACCTGTGAGCTGCATGGATCAACAGCTAACCACGAAGCAAATGGGATATTAAAATTAGTTCAAGGAACATAAGAGTCCTATCCCGGAATCCCTTATCTGTTGAAACATATCCACAAGTCACTCAGCTCAGGGTGACATCTCCTTCATTCTAACACAGGCGGCTTTCGGAAAGACATTGCAAACATGTCGACAGAAATCCAGATTGTTGACTGCCGATGGGCTGTCACGCCTCTGAACGGCGTTCCGCATCTTTGGCAACGGTGGGGCGTGTTTGCCCGAGAGCTGGAAAACGGACATGGAAAGCACGCAGCTACTGTCAAGAAGAACAAACCAACAACCAACAAACATCCAAGAGGAGGCTGGGTTGGGGTTTGCACAAGAACAACAAAGCAACAAGAGTGTTCTCTTGTGACCTGGCCAAGTAGACCCTACAAACTGTCGTTGTATGAGTTTGCCAGAAGTAGCAAATCCCCGGGTCCACTGGTTCACATGGTCATGAATCTCTTGCAAGCCATAGTCCAGTTGATTAGGAAGCCGTGCCAACAAAAGCAGTTTGGTCCTTCCCTGAAACAGTTTAACATGTTTTAATGATGTGTATATATAGTAGTACCTTATATATATAAAATACACTTAGCTATATAATGTTATATAATGTGTTATATATAATATCTGATGTTGTATGTATCCTAACTTATCCTATTGATGCATGTTCTTTTCTTGCTCATCAGCGTGGTTTCCCCACCCAACAAACCAGGCACAAAAAGCACATGCCCAACCGAGACCACTGCTTCTTCCGTGCCTTGAAGTTCTTCCCCGAGACCACTGCCGTCAGGCTCTGCCTTGGCGAAGCCGGAAGCAAGCGTGGAAGAGTTCCATCTCAAAACCAGAGTCTTTGTGGATCCATGAACAGACTATACCACTATACTGTCACTTGGAGGCCTGTCAGTTGGATGCCAAATCCGTTCCGGTTGCGTGACCTTCGAGCACGGCAGCTCGGCTCGCGCCTCGTTCCGGTGCCGGAGCTCGGACGCTGCGGCCCCGACCCGCTGGGAGACCCGAGCTCCGGCCACTGGTCCCTCACGTCGAAGGCAACGCCCAAGGGCTCCGAGTTGTGGGCGAAGCCGATCCGCAACCTGGGACGGCAGCGCGGTGGGGGAGGGGGTGACCGGGGGGGTGACCGGGGAAGAGGCACTCATCCGTTTGGGCCTTGGGGGGGGGGGGGGTTTGGCAAGGTTTGGATGGACATCTGGCTGGCAGATGGCACACATGACGTGATTGCTGGTAGGCACTTAGTAGGTGGAAAACACGGACTCAGTGAAGCAATGAACTCCCATCGTGCCTGCCGTCTTCCCGCTCGGCCTCTCCAGTGCTGAAGGGGCCAAAATGTGGCGAACACATTAGGCCTATCTGATGCCTAGTTAGGGTGGGCAATGATAGTTGGAACCAGGACGTGTTGGTAGGGAAGCTTATAAAATATTTTAGTAAGCTTAAGCATAATACTGTTCGATATATAAGTATATTGTACGGACAAGAATGGTTCAATATGGTCCAATAATGGTGTTTTCTAACTTGTGGCTCTAGCATGCTCTAGCTGTCCTTGTTCAATGAAACACCCAGTCCATTGAATCTGGCACGATCGGCCAGAAGAAACTCTACTCGCCTGCCGTCTTCCCCTCTTTCCCACATGCCGGAGTATACACGGGAGTAGACAAACAATCTTCAAATTCAAGGATATTCCAATGTTCAACTAGCCAAGGAGATAGCGACCCCCCAAAATCTTCCGTCGCTTTCCGAAGCTGAGCGCGTGTGTCAAAGTGGTGACCAGGTTTAAGGATTTGAATGCTGTTTGGTGTAATGGGATCCAAGTCCTCTGTTTGTTAGTTTGTTGGGGCCCTTGCGAACCAACTCCATTGGAGGGGACCCCCAAACAGCGGGCTTCAGGGGACTACTCCGGTACCTGTTTGTTTACAACCAAAAAGCAAGGCCAGGAGCCGCCAATAGCTTCTTGCTCCTGGTAGCGATGCCAGGAGCCCCTAGTAGCGTCCTTGCTCCTAGTAGTAGGGCGAGGAGCCCCTAGTAGCGTCCTTGCTCCTAGTAGCTGAATGGCTTCGGATGTTGTTGGAATCGTTTGGTACCAGAGCCTCCGACGGCAGGTCCAGTCCTCTCTCCCTTGACTCGCGCCTCGCAGTGGATGGTGTCGCCCGCGCCAAAGCCTTCACCATAGATCTCTCCGTGGCCTTTAGTGACCTCTGTGGCAGGGCGCTCGCGAAACATGAGAAGAAGTGTGTTGAAGGAAACCCACCTCATGTTGTGCTTGTATTCTCTCTCTCTCTCTCTGCCTGTGCGGATAGAAAACTGTTTGAGATCTTTGGGTGGGTTTGGTGCACGCGAAACTACCATCACTGACAGGGTACTTGGATGCATAGATATTTGCATAGCGTGCATTTTCCCAAGACTCAAACGATCTGAATGATTAGTGCAAACATGCTTGGGTCTCCCACAGGGCGGAGGCCCCAAATCCACTTGAAGAAGCCCTTTAAAAGCGCCACCTTGTGCCTTTTGGATGTGCTTGACGCACCCCAAAAAGAACCATGTCCAATGTCATTTAATGTAGACTCTTGGTTAATATATATATATGAAAAGGACTTCCAATTCAAAAGGCTGGGGTTGAGACATTCGTTTCTGGCATCTCGCCTTTGTACCTGGTGTGTACATATGTGGTAGTTTGACATCGGTTCCTCAATTTCACTTACTCTACTCATACCCGCCGTAATACACGGCAAGGGGTGATGTTATCAGCGTCCCCGGACGCTTCAGTGTGCGCATTCCAAAGGCTGGGGTTATGCATCAAGTGTGCGTCCCCAAAAAATCACATCTCCAGATCTGTCGATCTGGAGATAGGTTGGATCCCTCCATCCGACTGAGCCTTCTGTCCGCTGCTCTCAAAGCCGAAGCCCTCAGCATCTCGACCCACTGGAGCCATCGCCTGAGCCGAGCGACGCCGAGCGCCGAGTGCCGAGAGGAGGTCGGAGGGGCTCCGAGAGGAGGTGGAACCCGGTGCCTGAGGGGGGTGGACTGAGGTGCTGTGAAGGGATGAAGAGCATGATGAAGCAGATTCAGCAGATGCGAAGGGAAGGTGGACCCCAGTTCTGAGAAGCGAAGGGAAGGCGGCCAACTGCACATCGAAGTTGTGATGAAAGTACGCTGCAGCTTTCAAACAGGGGCCGCGAAAAGCGTCGCCGCGAAAAGCGGCGTGGGGATTGAGAAAAGCTGGCCATTGTCCAGCAGGGAACGTGTCAAAACCGGGGGATGATAAACTCGCTGCATGATCTCAGAAGGGGGGGGTACCATATGGTTTTCTATCATACTGGTTTGACTGATTTCTTTTGGGTGCTTGGACACGGAATCCATCGTGCGGCCCTTTCCCCTTCGTGAGATCCATGCGGCTAAAAGCGTTCCAATGGCTGTGGTGGAAGACCAGAAAATAAGACTGCTTGCACTTCAAATGAAACCCAACAAACCAGATAGAAGTTCTCTGTCAACATTGCTGTCTCAGAATACCCGTGCAAGTTCAAATGGGCGGCCAAAAGTACGGTTGCCTTGCCAAGGGTTGAATCTCTAATTGCAACTTGGGCAGAAGCGTTCCATACAACACGTTGGGAAGTGTACACATCTAGAACCCGTCCCGCATGAAACGTCACCAATCTTTGGCATCCGGCAGTCCACACCTCCCAGTCAATCCTTCCAGTGATTATTACATCCGTCAGGAAGGCCGAAGGATGTGGGGGGCCGGGTTGGCGAGGAGAAGAGGAAGAACAACAAATCACCGGAGGAATCACCAGGACTTTGAGGAGGTGTTTCTTGATATTGTGTGATGCCCTTGAAAAACGACCGATGAAGCACCCACTCCTTCCACAATTGACACCCCTCAAACCAAGCGTCCGCCGAAGGCCAAGCCCAGCCCAGGCGCACCGCCTCAGACAGCGAGGCCGTCTGCAAAAGGCAGAAAGACTTGATGAATCCTTCCCAAGAAGATGACCCAAAATCAGTGGAAAAGAGTCCAAGAAGAGTCCCACACCCCAAAAACCAAACGACATGGTCGTTCCAAACAAAAGTTTCCACATCCCGAAACCACCCCAAACCGCCAAACCGCGCTGGTCTGGGTCCTCCACAGTGCCACGCATAATCTCCACGGTGAAGGCGGCCACCTGTTGGTGCGAAACAAAAGAATCTGCAGCCGGACAGAGTGTTTTTTTGCCGCAGATTGTGGGATAAACAATATATGAAGGTATACACACTTGAACCACTCACACACGTGTGCTGGAATAGGCATCGATCTTCTTGTGCAAGCAATTCCAACCTCCTGTAGATGATCACCATTGGAACGCCAAAGTCGCCACTGGTTTTTGTAGAGGAAAAGAGCAATTTTCATATTGGAGCACCCATGAAGAGATAGGACACATCCTGCCCAATGTCTCTTTGGCGGGTGCTTCCAAAGGGGCTGTTCCATTCACATCACAACCAAATCACAGAATCATTGCAAGCAAAAACACAAGCACATGACGGCCGAGTTGGAAAAGTGCAGTGACAGGACAATGTAACTGAGTCCTTAGGTCTCTGAGGTATATAATGCATCAACTATTATGAAAAGAACTTACATAACATTACATAACCATCGCAAGCCAACACATTGAGTTGTGTTTTTTGGGTCCAGAGTGCCCTGCGTCAGGCAAACAAAAGCCGGGAAACCCCACCCCCCCAGGTGTAAAATCTGATCACATGGCTTCCCAGTCAGAAACTCACCTTAGACCTTTCTTGGTCGTTGCCACTATTACTTGCAAAGAACGTGCTCTGACTGGCGGGTTTAAACTTTAAACAAAACAAACTCTGCCTCTGTATCTGGGGAAATGATTTGCCAACCAACATGCCTCACTGGTTTCGTGCTTGAGCGCTTTGCATTGGAACCACAGTGTTCGGTGCTGGCAAACGTTGAGCTCTGCGAGGACGCTGCTGGGGACAGCCTCACCCTGCTTCACAGGCACATGAAGAGGAACTCCCACCTGGCGAGCGGTTGAACGGAGAAGTCAAACCAATTCAGGGATCCTCCCCCCCAAACCTAAAAGTTTTTGTCAATGGTTTCTCAGAGCATTTCCCTGAAGACAAGTTATGTTTCTTTCACAAATATTCACAGCAATGACATCCTGAATGACAACCCGGGTGCCCAGCTCAGGTGGGTCTTATCCTGTTGATGAACTTTTGCACGAAAACACGGCCACAGGCGGCTTTGCCAGCCAGGCTTTGCCAGCCAGGGCTCGCCCCTGCTTGAACTTGGTCTTTTCACCACCTTGAATGGTGTCATCTCAATTCGGGGGGGCGATTCTGTGAAGACCTCTACCGTCATATTTGTCTGCCTTGTTAAAGGGGTGGTCCTTTACATGAGAGCATCCTGTCTTCGAGCCGGTCTTCGGGTCCTTCGGTGGTCATGACTTCAGCGAACGAAGCGGAGATGATCATCGTGAGACACGGGTGATCAGCGAAAAGGCTCTATTATTAAACGCACCCTCCCGTATCGTGTGGTGTTCATGGCAGACTTCAAGCCTAATGAACTCTACTAAGAGGATCGACAGTAGGATCGACACCGATGTCCAAACCGAACATCCTCCACTCAGATAGCCCGAGCCAAGAGAAACTGGATCATTTCAAGGAGCTGGTTAGTCCTTTGGAGGACCCACGGTTGGTTTTCGCTTTGACCGCAGCAACTCTGCTTTCCGACCAACCAGGGACAGGCTGACAGGTGAATACTGTAACATGTTGGAGCCAAGTTGTTGGGTGCGATCCGTGCGACATGGTGCTGACCTTCTCCCGGAGCCTCACGTCACACGAACCTGCCGATTAAAATCCAAGTATCGATTCTACCCAAAGGCTCATGGACCCTCAAACTGCCACATGTTTGAGGTCCAAAACCCTGGCTGTGAGGGTCAAAGCCCTAGCGAACTGAGGGCCAAATGAGCCTTTGGAAAGCTTCTCAGCCCGCCGATGCGTCGCCGATGCGTCTGGGCTGCCCGCACCCAGCGCGGCGCAGCACTCTCAGCCAGCACTTGGTCAGAGCTCACAGTGACTGGGCCGTCACCTGCACGTCATGAAGCAAAGACAACTCAGTGACTGGGGTCACCGATCCACGGTCAGGGGCTGTTCCCGGAAGAATGAATTGGTCACAGTGCATAGATGTACATGGCACTGTGCATGGCAAAACATGCCTCGACTGGAAGCTTCGACTGTCTCGCAACACGTCGACTCTCGGTCGACTCCCTCAAATCCACGGATGCAACGACTGCAGAGTTGGATACCTCTGGAAGACCCACATGAAACCTGACCAAACAACCGGGAATTCGCTGGAGGAACATGGAAGACCCCAGTCTGGTCGCGTGCGTCGCCCGGTTGACCGCAAGAAGACGTCGGTCCACTGGACTACCGTTGGACCGATGAAAGGACTGGACACCACTGGGAGACTCAGTCGGGACCCTGGCGCTGGGAAGAGTACAAGTAAGGCCTAATTTCTGGTGCCAATTCCAATGTAGGCTGTTGACAGCTAACCCACTTTCTTGTCGCACAAGGAGTGGATTGAAGCACCCCCTCAGTGCTTCGCAAAACAACACCAGAACCTCGGCGGCATGTGTTCAGACTTGGCTGACAACTCATGGAGTAAGCTGACAACACAGAGCGAACGGGTTCCACTATTCCGGGAGAAAGCTCTGCATTCCAACGGCCCCGACATCTCTCTTGGTTGAACACTCCGAAGGGCGCAGAGGCATTGGCACCTGGGTCGAACGGTGGTTCAGTTGCAGGTAGTGTGTGAGCTCGCATGCGCGGTGTTTCTGCTGGCTGAACATGCAAGGAATTGACCCCCAATTGTTGCACCCTCACACTAGGTATCACATTCACAGGTGTGTCGTTTATGTTTGATATACCAGGACCCTCCAAGCCCTGTTTAGAAGCCTATAGGTAGTGTGGGGTAGTTCAGCCAGGACACCCTGACAGGAGGGTTCTGGTATGTTTGCTATCGTAGGTGTGGGAAGAAGTGATGAGAGAAACGTTAACTTCATTGATCGACCTGGTTGGTAAAAAAAGCACCAAGAGTTGGTACACGAGCATGATGAACAGAAGATGTAAAAAAGTACCCCCAAACATCTTCAGGCAATACGGAAATACCATGAAATACCTATGTTCTGATTCCATCTGATTCTCCTAGTGCTCTGGGACACCCCAGCTTTTGGCATCCTTCTCCTGACACAAGAGTCATGGCAGAAACGGTGGTCGTCACATCTGCCGATACTGCTGACTCACCTGTTTGTTTGTTTTTCTTTTGTGGGTCAAGCATCACCGCCATCATGAATATGATATGTTCCAACATCATCCCTGTTGGAGGCCATCGCTACTAGGTTGGAGGCCATCGCGAATCATGAATCCAATATGTTCCAACATCATCCCTGTTTTGCCCCGTTTCACTGTTTCTTTGAGTCTTTGAGTTCAAAAGTTCGTTCTTTTTTCTACGGTCAACGCACCCTCGCACCCTTTCAGTACTCCGTGGAAGCCAACAAGGTGCCCGCCTGTACAACATTTGTGTGTGTTTGTTTGTTTTTTTTTTTTAATTGCATAATATATAGCATAATATTGAGCACACCCACTGCAACAGCACCAAACAATAAGCTGCATTGCCCCCACCACCTGCCAGTGTTGCTTGCCACAAGCTGCGCAAAACACCCGTTTGAGGTGATCACCGCAAAAATAGCGAATACATGCGAATACCCATCCAAAGCCAAAAAAAATATCTGGACCGTTCATTCTTGCCAACAGATGCTGCTTCGTTCATGCTGGTTCAGCTCCTATGACAGCCTCCCCTTCTTCTCCTCGGCTTCCGCAGCCCAGAATGCCTCCTGCATGAAAACGGCTCAAAGGGCAAAGGATATATGTGTCGGTTGGTCAACACAGGGCGCAAACACCCCCCGTGTTGCAGCTCTGCCCGGCCTCACTAGAGTGCCTCTTGTTTGTTTCTGATGGCAGGAGGAAGAATATGTTTGGCAACCAAAAGTCCAACCTTCGTGATTAGATGTTATTGATTAGTCTTCATGATTCCCAGTGGCGCAAAAATGCATCCTGGTGGTCTGTCCCCATTCGCACCCACATCATGTTCAACAAATGACAATCAGCTTCGCAGTCCATGCTTTGAACTTGGTCCCTGAAAGGTGGGTTCCCCACAAGGATGAACATGCACAGATGCACCCTGGACCTGTGCGAGTGAGTTCCGGGCACCAAAAAATGTGCCCCAAAAAATCATGTTGCACATCAACATGCTCCCAAACATCAAATCTTGCAGGCACTGTCTGTTGTTGTTAAATGAATTTGCTAAGGTTCTTTGTTTGTCTTTCCTGCAGGATCTCGTGCTGTGTCCCTTCCAGATCTCCTGAAAGCCCTTTTGCTTCTTCTTGAAGAGCAGCATCAGCTCCTAGGATTTGTGAAGGCTGATGCTCCGTGAGAAACCGGCGTCAAAAGAAGTGTGTCGACTAGTTTGACTGCACAAGTGTGGTTGTTTTGGTGCAAATCATATCATAGCATCATGAGCCAGCCGCGGGACCAAAGCAATTGAAGAACTAGAGACTTTTGTTTGTAGAGCTTGCTAGAGCGGGTGAGCGTGGGTCCAAAATCAACAACCAGAAGCTTAAGCAAAAAAACAAACATCATCATCATCATCATCATCATCATCATCATCATCATCATCATCA